GACAGCTACATGTAAAAGAATGAAATTAGAACACTTCCTAACACCATACACAAAAATAAACTCAAAATGAATTAAAAACCTAATTGTAAGTTCTGATACCATAAAACTTTTAGAGAAAAACATAGGCATATGAAAATAAAAGCAAAAATAAACAAGTGCGACCTAGTCAAACTTAGCTTTTGCACAGCAAAGGAAATCATAAAATGAGAAACCAACCCTTGGAATGGGAGAAAAAGTTTGCAAATGAACTGACCCACAACAGATATATCTCCAAAAATACACAAACAACTCATGTAACTCAATACCAAAAAAAAAAAAAAAAACCAACTCAATACAAAAAGTGAGCACAAGATCTAAATAGACATTTCTCCAGAGAAGACATCCAGATGGCCAAAAAGCTTATGAAAAGATGCTCAACATCATTAAGAGAAATGCAGATCAAAACTATAATGAGCTATCACCTCACACAGGTCAGAATGGCCATCATTAAAAAAAATCTACAAGCAATACATGATGGGAAAGTGTGAAGAAAAGGAAACCCTCCTACACTGTTAGTGGGCATGTAAATTGGTACAACCACTATGGAGAACAGTATGGAAGTTTCTTAAAACACTAAAAATAGAGCTACCACATGACCCAGCAATCCCACTCCTTGGCACACATCCAGACAGGACCATAATTTGAAAAGATACATACAGCCTAATGTTCACTACAACACTATTCACAATAGCCAAGCATGGAAGCAGCCGAAGCGTCCGCCAACCGTCCACAGAGGAATGCAGAAAGAAAGTGTGGTGCGTATATACAATGCAATATTACTCGGCCGTAAAGGAGAAAGAAACAACGCCATCTGCAGCAACATGGATGGACCTACAAATTATCACACTAAGCGAAGGAAGTCAGACAGAGATACTGCTTATACGTGGAATAAAAAAAATGGTACAAATGAACTTATTTACAAAACAGAAACAGTCACAGATACAGAAAACAAACTTATGGTTATGAGACGGAGAGGGAGGGAGAGACAACTGAAAGACTGAGATAGACATATACACACTTTGTGCTGTGTGCTCATCACCCGATCATGTCCAACTCAACCCACCAGGTTCCTCCGTCCATGGGATTCTCTAGGCAAGAATACTGGAGTGGGTTGCCATGCCCTTCTCCAGAGGATCTTCCTGACCCAGGGATTGAACCCACATCTCCTGCAGTTCCTGCATTGCAGGCAGTTTCTCTAATGCTGAGCCACTGGGGAAGCCCCCCACATACACATATATCCACTCTTTTATATATTCTTTTTCTATATAGGTCATTACAGAGTATTGAGAAGTGTTCCCTGTGCTATACAGTAGGTTCTTATTAGTTATCTACTTTATATATAGTAGTGTGTATATGGGGCACAGTGGTAAAGAAACCATCTGCCAGTGCAGAAACTGCAGGTGTGGGTTTGATCCCTGGGTCAGGACGATTCCCTGGAGAAGGGCATGGAAACCCACTCCAGTGTTCTTGCCTGCAGAATCCCACGGACAGAGGGGCCTGGTGGGCTACTATAGACTATAGGGTCACAAAGAGTCGGACAGGACTGAAGCGACTTAGCATGCACACATATGAACATGTGTAACTGATTCTCTTTGCCGTACACCTGAAACTAACACAACATTGTAAACAAACTATACTCCAATAAAAACTAAAAAAATTTTAAGTTACTCCAGGGATATCCAGGAGAGTAATTATTACAATAATGAAAACTAAGGTTGAGTGTTTTCCCTGTCGCTTTTATCTTCTTGCTCTATAAGAACAGACATTATCACCATTTTCTAGGTGAGGACACCGCAGTTGTCCAAGAATTGAGCAATTTGCCCTTGCGCCCCCACTGGAAGAGTCTTTTTAATTCAAGCTCATTTGACTCAAAAGTCTAAGCCTCGATCATTTAAGGAACTGCGTTTTATATACTATAAATACATGGATAAATAAAAAATTTTAAACTATGATCTCAGTAAAATGCCAAAAAACATTTGATAAAATTGAATACTCATTCATTAATACTATTTTTTAATACTATTTTTAATTAAATGCTTTAACTTGTATTGGAGTATGGCCAATTAACAATGTTATGAGAGTTTCAGGTGGACAGCAAAGGTACTCAGTCATACGTATACATGCATCTATTGTCCCTCAAACTGCCTCCCATTCAGGCTGCCACATAACACTCTGTGCTTTTCATCCATTGAAAATATAGCACTGTGTACTTGCCCATCCCCAACTCCCTATCCCTCACTTCTTTAAGTTCTTAAAATTCAAATGTGAGGATTGCTTCTTACTCTAATAAAGAATATCCCTTCTATACCAGCAATCAACATCTTACCAAATGGTAAAATGTTTTAGCCATTATTTGAGAATGAAGATGTCTGCTATAACCATTTTTAAAAATTAATCCTGGAAATTCTACTTCCTGGAAGCTCCTCCAATCTATAAAAATAATATTGAATATTTATTGAGCAGGCTGTCTGTGGCTGACACTTTTACATATGTCTACTCATCTGATTCTCACAACTACCTAGGAGAGAGGTACTATTATTATTACTTCCATTTTATGGAGGACAGAGCTCAGACACAGAGAAGTTAAATAAGTTGGCCCAGATAATGAGAAGAGTTAATGAGGCTTTGTGCCCAGGCAGGCTGGTGCTGGAGCCTCAGCCAATAACTTATGCATGAAAGAAATGGAGCAAGGAACAGTCAGGTTTATCCTTATTTGCAAAAGATGTGATTTTATACCTAGGAATCCCCAAAGAATCAATTGAAAAACTAGTGAAATTAATGAGACTGTTCAGGAAGTCCTAAGGGCATGACAAATATTCTAAAATTACCAGCCATTCTTTCTATTTTTCTAGTAATAGAAAATAGAATTGGGGGCAGGGGGGACAAGGAGCCTTTATCAACCATCACAACAGATAGAGCTAAGAATAACTTTAATCATAAGAAAGTTATTTTGTAGAAAATTCTAGAAATTTACCGAGAAACCTAAAAGACTTAAACTAACAGACATCTGATGTTTCAGATTGGGAAGTTAGAAGACTAAAAAATTGCTTCAAAATTGATTTATTGGTCCAATATAATTCCAATCAAAATAAGAGTGAGAATTTTTTAAACTTCAAAATTATTCAAAAATTTATTAGGAAAAAATAACAATCCAGAAAGGTTGGAATATATTTGAGAAGGAATTGTAACAAGGTGGGTTCCAAACAAACCACTTTTAAAAAGTAGTGTAGACCTGTAAAATTATGTTTAGGAAAAATTAATCTAAGGAAAGAGTCTTCAGTGAAAAATTACTAGACAGTTATATTTAGCTCATACTTTATTGTATATATGTAGTATACAATATACAATATGATTACAACTCTGTAAAAAAGTGAATATAAAAAGAATAAATATTTTTAAAGAAAGAAAACTCTAGGCAATTAAAAAAATTATGTCTATTAGTTTAGCAATAACCTCTACCCCTCAATTCACGTGATTTTGTTAATCAAATCCAGAATAATTCATTGACAATAATTTCACATATTAAATATAAATTTTCTCACAAATATACATTTATGGAAATTAAATTGGGGAGTCTATTTAAATGTGCTTTCTTCACAATAGGGAAATGGAAGAAAATATACCTAAATGTTAAAAGTTAAGTACTGAAATGTTGTGGGTGATTTTTTCCAATCAGGAAAAAAAAAGTATTTTAAGAGTATGAAAACAAATCCAGAAATTCTGAGTAGCTTAAATTAGCACGAGACCAAATTTATCTACATAAATGTTTTATTTACATCTAAATTCTATCTCACCATGTTAATAGAACATTGAGATAGTAAGTTAAATGTCTGAATTTCAATGAATCAAATATTTACTGAGTGGTCTGTGTGTGGTCCTGGATGAAATACCCTTGGCCATGAAAAAGGGGAGAATGCTATCTGAACTTCCAAGAACTCATGTTGTACTTGGAAAATCAAGATATTAAGGTGTAAAAAAAAAAAATCAAAAAGCACAAGAAACGCCACGATGAAGCATGATGGATTGTCAGATGTGTGTAATGTGTAATGTTTTAGAAGAATAAGAGATCCTCATGCAATAGAATCTTCATAGAAGAGCCACTGAGATGGATGGATGCGTGGAGAGTGGACACAGAACTCCAGCTAAAGCGATCTGCCAGCTCTGGCTGTAGCGGACAGCTTTAATGGAATTGCTTGTCTGCAACAAAGTTCACTGTAGATCGGCCACATGGCAATAAGAGGAAACGGGGGAAAGCTGGGAATGCTGTCTGGCAACCGTACAAGGGCAGGAAAATGGTGAGAAACAGGGACTCAGTGGTCAGGTGAACTGGGCTGGGGATCCTAGCTCTGGCCTTCCTAGCTATGACTTGCTTTCTGTCTTCTGGTCCCAGAATTTAATGGGGAAAGTGAAGATGTCATTTGTTTCATTTTAATTCAAGTTGTGTGCTTCCCATGTGCCAGCATCATGTAAAACATTTTGAATAAATTATCTTGTTTAACCCTCAAAATAGGAACCTTATGAAGTAGCTACTATGGCTGTTCCCATTTTGCATAGGACAGAATCAGGCTTTAATTCCCTGTGGAGGGGAAAGACTTCAAACCCAGGCTGTTTGAGGCCACAGCCTCCACCACACTACACATGGTATTCAAGAAACTTAGCTGAGTGCTTGGCATATAGAGGTGTACAACAGCGGGTGATCCTTAGACCAGAAAGAGGGTTCAATCCCTATAAGCTGGCTTACTATATAAATGCACCCATTTCCACGGGGCCCTCACTCATGATTTTCAGATGGGAGGCATAAGCAATCCAATGAACAAAGCTGTATGGTCCTGGGAGCTCCTCGGTCCTATGAGTGTCCCTCTGTCCAGGCACCAGGGAACAGAGGTCAAAGCACCCAGCTGTGAAAAGGGAGGAAGCAGGACCTGACAAACACCACGGAGAAGACGACAACAGTCAGTTACCTCTGTCCTGCGTATCGGAGAAATCGTCCCTAGATTTGCTTCAGCTCTGGTCACCATGATAGGGACCTCACCCTAGGCAGCTGGGACACATCTGGAATGTGAAATGAAAACCTGGGTCAACATTTTGGCTCAACTTTCTAGATTCAGCTACCTTGGACACCTTGCTTCCTCTGTCTGAGCCTCGGCTTCCCTGTCTAAAAACTGAAGGGGATGAGTTAAACAGATTTTGTTCTGACATTTTATTGTTTTAGAATTCCATTAGTCTAAAGTGACATAGAGGATAAGACTCAAATTCACAAGAAATAGCAACTATGAGTCTCAACCAGCTAAGCCACATCTCCAGTCACACAGCTTTATAGGTGCAGGCACTTCCAATTTTTAGGAAGAAAACAAGTCATCCTAAATTTCTGATTAGTAATTTGATGGAAAGCCTTTTTATAAACAATTACTTGAGATGATTGCAATTTAGTGCCAGGACCAAATCAACAAGACAATTGCAAGCAACTTAAGCAGTATTCAGAAGTCATTTTGCTAGTTCTGCAAAGTTTCAGGTAAATTGGAGGGGCCAGCCAACAAAATTTTATAGAATTGACTAACTAGATTTTAGAGAAACTAAACACCTTCTACAGGTTATGCTCAGTTTGTGAGCACTTTAGTGGCTGGAACAAAGGTCTAGTCCATACTTAGCTCCGCGATTCCTGACACAATATTTAGATTCTAAATTTTACAGGCAATGTATGTTGAAAAGCACTTTGAATTAATAACACTCTGTACGCACTGCAATTCAATCTGTTTCCATGTAATAAATACTGTTTAAGCTTGGTGGAGAGTGGGGCACTTAATGTCCCTGAGCCTAACTGCCCTCCTCCATTGATCAGAAAGCCAAAGGCCTCTCTCACAGGATTTGTCAAGAGGAGTAAGTGAGACCATGGAAGCTTCCAGCACTGTTCCTGCCTCACCGCTGGGTCTCAGGGGCACGGGCATACCTCCTATTCTGTTCAGTAGGACCTCATGCTCAGAAGGGCCCCATGATGGGCCTAGTGCTCTGCCGTTGCCATCTTTAAATTCTTAATAATTTTTGAAAGAGAGACCCCAGATGTTTATTTGCGCTGGGCTCTGCCAATTATGCAGCTGACCCTACTCAAGGCGTTGTACTGGGTAGGGTTGTCGAAGCCCACACAAGGCCCATGCAAGGACAAGAGCAGGATCCCAATTACCACGTCTTCCTTGAGTGCCTACCCTACACTCCAGAGTTCCCCGGGCTGCAGAAACGATGGAGAGAGGCCTGCCCGAAAAACACTCTTCTGTGCTGAAGTTCTCTAGAAGAGCTTTCTGTCACCAACTTCAGTCAAATCACTCAACACCTTTGTGCCTCAGTTTTCTCAACCGTAAAGAGAAACTATGAATAGCACCTATATTTTCAGAGTTGTTGTGAAGATTGAATGAATTAATCTACATGATGCTCTTAAAGCAGTTCCTAGGACATAGGAAGCTCTATGTAAGAGTCAACTATTATATTTTGCTGTCGTTGTTGCTGGCTGAATGTTTGCATGGGTTTTCCTGGTCTGGGTGTTTGCATGGCTTTTTTCTTTGACAGCATACATTTTCTCATTCTCATTCATAACATTATTAAGCTGCCAGACTGGTTTGTTTCCCTCAAAACATCCCAGTTCTTTGCAGCTCGGAATGAGTCTTAAGGGAAAAACTCACGTAGCGGGATATTCTCTGTGATCTGGTTCATAGATGACTTGAAAAGAGTAATTAATTTATAGCTACTATTGCTGGAGCACTGGGCTGGGCACTAAATGTCCATTGTCTGTGATCCTCATAGCAGTACTGTATCATGGCTGGTTTTATACCCATTTTGTAGATGAGGAAATTGAGGCTTATAAACATTCTGCAAAGTTCTTTGGATCTGGTTCTGTCTGCCTCCAAAGTCACCTTCCAGCTGGAGCCATGAAGGTAAGAGGGTAATTAATGTCCAGGGACCTCCCTGGCGATCCAGTGGTTAAGACTCCACGCTCCCAATGCACAGGTTCAATCCCTGGCTGGGGAACTAAGATCCCACACGCCTCTGGGTGCGGTCAAAAAGAGAGGGACACTGATGTCTGTGAAGTGCACAGTGCCAAATCTTAAGCTCACTCCAAGAGGATGGCAATTGAATTCCACACCCTGGCATCCCAGCACGTAAACAAAGAATCCACTATGAAATTTGAGTACATTTATATTTACAAACAGACACACACCCCTTAAACTAATTTTAAATCCTACTGCCCAAACAATACTTACCCCCAGGACTATGAGAAAGGTCTGATCCCAGTCTGTGTTTCAGCGGTGTCCTGATGGAAACATCTCCCTCACCACCCCCCAGCCCCACCGGAAGCTTGTCAGTCACTGGAGGTCAGTCGCCAATGTTTCATCATCTCCAGCGGGGCGGGGGCGTGCTACGCAAAGATAATGATCTAGCTTGGTTGAGAAAAGCGGGGTGAAGCAACAGATAACACCTCCTATCTCTCTTGGCGGGGCTCCGCCCTTCTGCTCCACGCAGTTTATGTCTGTGGAGAGGAGTAGTCTCTTTCTCTCCATGTGAACACAAATTTAAATACCACGAATACACGCGTGGCCTAGTGGAGTGGAAAGCGCTCTGCAGGAGGAGTCAGGAGGCCTGGGTTCAAGGCCCAGCTCTGGCACTCATTTGCTTGTATGAACTCGAGGAATCACTTTCCCACCAGCAAGCTCATGTTCTTCCTTTATGAAATGAAGGAGTGGGTCTCTACAAATTGGCAAAGGTCCCTTCCCACTTGCTTCACCTCCGAAACTGTGTATGCCGTGGCCATAGGTTATTTAAGAGTGTGTGTATGGGATGTAGGCAACTGATAAGGATGATTTTAAGCACTTTTCTGTTAAACACTGAATGGGGCCCACCTGAGACGGCTGGGGCAGTTTGTAAGACAGACAGTGCCAGCAAGGCAAGCAAGGTTGACTGCAGGCTTTGGGTGTGGGGTCTCAGGCTAAACCTCCAAGATCTAAACTGAGGACTGAAGAACAGGAGGAGGATAAAATGACCCTTATGTGGAACAAAGAAAGCGGAACTTTGTAGGCTTCTGTGATGACACCTCCCTGCTCTGGACAAGATAAGCAGTGTGGAATAAGGGCTCCTGAATCAGATATATTCAGATTTGAAAACTGGCTCAGTTTTCAAATAGCTGATAGTTGAGTGACTTGGGAAAAGTTACTTAACCTCTCTGAGTCTCAGTTTTTTCACAGGTTAATAATAAATGTTTAATTTTTTAAATTTCATAAGGTTTTTTAAAGTTAATACAAATACAGATACATAGGCAAAGTACTTAACAGATGCTCCTTTCTCTGGTAAACAGCTCATCATGCTCAGTTGTATCCGATTCTTTATGACCCCATGGACTGTAGCCCACCAGGCTCCTCTGTCCATGGGATTCTCCAGGCAAGAATACTGGAGTGGGCTGCCATTTCCTCCTCCAGAGGATCTTCCCAACCCAGGGATCAACCCCACACCTCCTGCATCTCTTGCATTGCAGAAGGATTCTTTACCTACTTTGCAATTGGGGAAGCCTCCTTGTAAACAACATATAGTAGCTATTAATATTTACATTTTTATTCTTAAAGTTAAAAATCCACCTCTTGGGCTAAGCCCTGCCCAGTGTTTTCTGATGTATTGTGTATATCGGAAATATATTATCAGTTCACTGTGGAAATATGTCTGCAGCTACAGTTTTCTTTTTTTCATAGCTATGTTAAGAATTATTTTTGTTTAATCACTAATTTGTGTCTCATTCTTTCGTGACTCCATGCACTGTAGCCCACCAGGCTCCTCTGCCCATGAGATTTCTCAAGCAAGAACACTGGCGTGGGTTGCCACTTCCTTCTCCAGGGGATCTTCCCCACCCAGGCACCCAGCCACCAGGGAAGCCATAGGAAGCAACATTCTTACTCAAAGTTGAGGAATGCATGGGCATGCTGGAAGCTTTGCAGAATAACTTCCCAACTGGCTTTTCCACACCCTTCAGGTTCATCCTTACACTGTCAACAAACAGCTCTCTGCTCCTGACTGCCAGGTCTCCTGGTACTTAACTCTAGCTACAGTTAACCTACAGGAATCAAGCCAAGATTTTTGACTCACTACGTTGTTTTCTCTTTTATCTGAACCCAGGGTAGATGTGTCAGCATCCAGGGCTGTGCAGGATTCACTCTGCTCAGCTCTTCTGTGTGGACCGTTCTTGGACCAGAACCTTCCATGATGCGGCTCCAGGGCTCACAGTTCCATGTAGCCGGGCATCCCTGGGTGTGAATCCACGAGCCAGTGCAGACGACGTGGCTTCCATCCTTGGTCCAGGAAGAGTCCACTTGCTGTGGAGCAACGAAGCGCATGCGTCACAACAACGGGGCCCGCGTGCGGCAACTACGGACGCCCACGCAGCGGGAGCCTGTGCCCGGGAGAAGAGAGGCCACCATGCTGAGAAGCAGGCTCCGCTCCCCAGGGCTGGAGAAGGCCTGCAGGCCGCAGTGAAGACCCAGCGCAACCATAAACCATAAGTACAGAAATAAAACGTATTTTTAAAAATGCAGTTGTTAAAGGTCTCTGAACATGACATATGGTGATCTTCTCTGTGTGTGCTCTCACTGGGATAGTCTTGTAACAGCAGAAAGACTACTTGACTTGGGCATCAGTGACTTGGAGATCAGAGGCCTTTGACCTCTCTGGACTACATTTTCTTCATATACATTTGCAAGGAGTTTTGATTAGACTCTGCTCTAAATCCAGGGTCTATGTATGACTCAGAGGCAGGAGATAGATGGACCCCAGGCTGAACACTTTCTCCCCTGTGGACAGAAATTTCATAAAGGCAGAACCTCCGTAAAAGCAGGATGATGAAGGAGGCTGGACCCTGCCTAGATAAGAGATATAGATCACGTATTACTCATTCTCGAAGTTAACGAGAACTCCCTGACTACACATGCCAAAAAGGGAGGGAGCATAATAAGTGGTGTTGTAAGTAAGTGATGTCAGGCCTCTTTGCTAGAAACCATCTTGGCTATGAGATGTGTGTGCACATGTGGGAAGACCTTGAGATAAACCAGACATCGACTCAGAACCAGCAAAGCAAGGTGACTGGTCAAAAGAAACCTGGAAGAAATGTCCCATGAAAGTGACTCAATTGCCATGATGGTGTGACTCTCCCTCTGAGCCGGCTCTCAAGTCTATCCACAAGTACTATACCATTGTTCCTTCAAATAAACAATTTATTTGTTTCACTACTTTCTGTCTCTACATGGAAATTCGTTTCTACACAGCTGATGGGCCAGGGCCTTGCCGCTGGCCTCTGACTCTGGTGGACTAGTGGCTGAGATTCAGCACTCTTCCTGCTGTTGTCGGGCCTCAATCTCTGGCCAGAAATAGGCCGCAGTGAAGACCCAGCGCAACCATAAACCATAAGTACAGAAATAAAACGTATTTTTAAAAATGCAGTTGTTAAAGGTCTCTGAACATGACATATGGTGATCTTCTCTGTGTGTGCTCTCACTGGGATAGTCTTGTAACAGCAGAAAGACTACTTGACTTGGGCATCAGTGACTTGGAGATCAGAGGCCTTTGACCTCTCTGGACTACATTTTCTTCATATACATTTGCAAGGAGTTTTGATTAGACTCTGCTCTAAATCCAGGGTCTATGTATGACTCAGAGGCAGGAGATAGATGGACCCCAGGCTGAACACTTTCTCCCCTGTGGACAGAAATTTCATAAAGGCAGAACCTCCGTAAAAGCAGGATGATGAAGGAGGCTGGACCCTGCCTAGATAAGAGATATAGATCACGTATTACTCATTCTCGAAGTTAACGAGAACTCCCTGACTACACATGCCAAAAAGGGAGGGAGCATAATAAGTGGTGTTGTAAGTAAGTGATGTCAGGCCTCTTTGCTAGAAACCATCTTGGCTATGAGATGTGTGTGCACATGTGGGAAGACCTTGAGATAAACCAGACATCGACTCAGAACCAGCAAAGCAAGGTGACTGGTCAAAAGAAACCTGGAAGAAATGTCCCATGAAAGTGACTCAATTGCCATGATGGTGCGACTCTCCCTCTGAGCCGGCTCTCAAGTCTATCCACAAGTACTATACCATTGTTCCTTCAAATAAACAATTTATTTGTTTCACTACTTTCTGTCTCTACATGGAAATTCGTTTCTACACAGCTGATGGGCCAGGGCCTTGCCGCTGGCCTCTGACTCTGGTGGACTAGTGGCTGAGATTCAGCACTCTTCCTGCTGTTGTCGGGCCTCAATCTCTGGCCAGAAATCGAAGCCCTGCTTTAAGCAGCTGCAGGCCGAGGCTACCTAGGATCAACTCTACCGTATCCCTGGTCACCAGAACTCTGCCTGCTTCTAGGAGGTGTTCAAGCAGTGTTTGTGGCTACGTTAAGTGAGTGAATGCATTTAAGCGCTCTGTTCCTTATACACACCCAGAGTTTGCCCACACCTCACTGCCTAACTACATACAAATACATGCTGAAGATGAGATAATGATTTTCTCACAACAGCCCTCAGCCTGTTCCTTTCCAGAGGTCATGGTCAGTGGATTTCTGCTGGAGCTCCTTGGGAGGTCCATATCCAAGCCCCTATCTGCTGAGCTCCAAATGATACAGTCCTCCTCACTCTGTTTTGAGCTGACATCTTTAAAGGCAGGACTCAAGAGGAGATCAGACAGTGATAAATGAAGCTGTAACATCTGTAACATCAACAGGAAGCTATTTCTGATAGCTTATCACCTGGTGGAGAAGGAACGGCTGATGGAGGTCGATAACTCACTTTCACCTCCCACCCCTTACACATTTTGTAAGACCACATCCCTCCCAGGTCCTATTGCCCTTGCATGAAGCCTCCAATATTTGTGGGCCGCAACGTCTCACAGAGAACATAGCTGCTTTCTGCAGGAAGGTCAATTATCTCTCCCCATTTTTACGGGAGAAAAAATGGTGGGTCAAGATTAAGGAATTTTTCTAAAATCTTTTTTTATTCTCATTTTATTTTTTGATTAAGGAGTTCTTTGAAAGAGGAAAAATGCTTGTTTCAATCATCCTTATACCATTTTGCATGATGCTTTTCTGGCATACTTGTGGGTTTTTTGAAACAGTTTCCCAAATTATTTTCCACATTATGACAAGTGAGCTTTTAAAACCCACAATTCTGGTTATGTCCGTCTCTGCTAACACCTCCTCAGTGGCTTCCCACTGAACTTAGACCCTGAATAAGATCGACCCTCTTAACTGTTCCTCAGGTATTTGTCTTTGTCTCTTCACACTCTTCCAGACTCCCTCCCACCTCAGGGTGTCTGGACATGTGGATTCTTCTGTGCCCAAAAGGTTTTCATGGTATTTTTTTTTTCATGGTATTTTTAACGGTTGCCTAAAATCCCGCCTTGCTGTGAGTGCACGCTAAGTTGCTTCCGTCGTTCCCAACTCTGTAGCCCCCCAAGCTCCTTTGTCCATGGGATTCTTCAGGCAAGAATACTGGAAAGGTTGCCATGTCCTCCTCCAAGAGATCTTCCTGACCCAGAGAGGGAAGCCACTTCTGTCATGTCTCCTGCATTGGCAGGCGGGTTCTCTACCACTAGCGCCCCCTGGGAAGCCCCCTCCCTGCTCACCCCCCCACCTCCCCAACCCCCTGCCTTGCTTATATAACCCTAAATTCCCAAGCATTCTCTGGACTATCAGTTGTTTCCAGTGTTTTAACTACTGAAGCAACACAGTGATGGGTAACTTTGTACACAGTGATTTTACTGTTATTGTTGGTAATTTTAGATTACTTCTTTTGAATAAAGCTGCAGGAATAGATGTCCAAGTCAAAGGAAAGTGACTTTCTGGCCTTTGTGTCACATGGACCTTTTGCTTTCAGCATGTGTGTGCCATTAGCAGTGTTTGAGCTTGTCTCTTTCACTACAATCTGGATAGCAATGAATTCTTATTTTTCAGTAATTATATAGTGTTACTTCTGTGCATGTTTTAGTTTATTTTTTAAAATCTGTTTATCAGTAATAAAATGTTCTACTATTCATTGAGCACCAATATATGAAGTTGCTTCACATAACACTAGCTCCTTTAATCCTCACGACCACCATATAAGGAAGATACTATGGATACTGTTTTAAAATAAAGAAGCTGAATATTGGGAAGGTTTGTTGCTGTTCAGTCACTAAGTCATGTCCAACTTTTTGTGACACCCTGGACTGCAGCATGCTGGATTTTCCTATCCTTCAGTATCTCCTGGAGTTTGCTCAAACGCATGTCCATTGAGTCAGTGATGCCATCCAACCATCTCATCCTCTGTAATCCCCTTCTCCTCCTGCCCCCAATCTTTCCCAGCATCAGAGTCTTTTTCAATGAGTCGGCTTTTCTCCTTAGGTGACCAGCGTATTATATAACTGGGAAGGTTAACTTGCTCAAAGTCAGAGAGTTGTAATAAGTAGCAGAGTGCGGATTCAAATTCAGATCTTGTAATGTTATCTCAAAATCTATTTGCTTTGTGTATTATTTCTCTACCATCTTCATCTTCCAACTAATAAACATTCTTAACAGTGAATTTTGTAGACACTAAATTTCCCAGAGCTTCAGGTGCAGTATAGCACCCCAAGTTCATGTGGTAACATGTGTGGAGTTCCCAAATTCAGTCACTCAGTCGTGTCCGACTCTGTGCGACCCCGTGGACTGCAGCACGCCAGGCTTCCCTGCCCAAGACCAACTCCTGGAGCTTGCTCAAACTCATGTCCATAGAGTCAGTGATCCCAGCCAGTACCTATCCAGAATCAACAGTCTGCAAGCAGAAGACTCCAGCCTCCCGGGCACCTCCACCTCCACCACTTCTCCCCTTCCTTTTAGATGAAATTTTTTATTGATTAGAAGTCTTCCTCCATAAACTGAAGTTAAAACTCTTTGACAGATGCAGTCTAATGCCCATCTCACAGAATTGTTCAAGATTCAGTGAGCCCACATGGGCTCTATTAACCCATATGAAACACTCTGTAAACACTAGGCTTTATTATCTTTCTAAAACAACATAGGAAGAAGTGAAGAGTGACTGATAATGAGAAAGGGTTTCTTCTGGGGTGACAGAAATGTTCTAAAATTGTGGTGATGAGTGCATACCTCTGCAAATATACTAAAAACTATGGAACCATGAATTGCATGGCATGTGAATTCTATCTCAATAAAGCTGGTATTTTATCAAATAGCAAGGGCTTTGCTACTGTGGTCGGTGTGTTATTCGCTCTGAATGGTCCTGCCACTCATTCATGCTACAGATAGTTCTTGGTAGTCGAAGATGCACCTGGCT